AGTGTGGGGGTTCTGAGGGGATCTATGGTCACCAGTGGAGGGGTAGGGTATAGACACGCATGCATGTGCTGAGGTTCCTAGTGGCTCCATACCTACAACAGAGCACACATTACAATATCCTCAGCTAATCCTTTTGGCCTAATCTCAGGGAGCTCTTCCTGCCCTGCTGGGCTGTCTGGAGCCTGCAGGGCAGGCTGGGAGAAACTCCAGTTAAAAGTGGGATTTCAGCTGTGCCTCCATAGACTAGGAGGCTCTGCATGGGCCTCTCCCTGCCTCAGATGTTCTCCCTCTCGGTGAAAGCAGCTGTGCCACAGGGAGAGGAGGGAGCCCAGAGGTGAGCAGGTGTCCCAGGACACAAAGGCTGGGGAGGGCCACAGTAAGGGCTCCAGGCTGGGCACAGGGCCGGTTCTGCTCTGGGGGCCCTTTCAACCACAGATCATGTGGCTGGAGTCCAGTATGGGAGCATGGGAGTGGGTGAGGAGGGTTAGGAGGTTGGTAATGGACCTGCCCACCTTCCAAAATGGGCTGAACTTCAGTGGTCTTGTTGGGGAAAGCCCCATGCTCCATGCTTCTTGCCCCACCAGCTCTCCACAACCTGGGCTCTTCTGATTTTTAGCCATGGGCAGCCAGTTATTACGGACTTCCCAGGTGGCCTGTGAGCTCCTCATGAATGGGATCATATCTTGGGGGGTTCCCTGAACCCCAGTGTCCAGTAAAGGCCCCACACACAGCAGGTGTTGGTGGCTGAACCAGAGAACTAAGATGACCTTGAATGAGCCAGGGTTCTCCAGAGAAGCACCGCGGGCAGGATAAGTAGGAAGGGATCTTTTGGAAGGAACTGGCTCACGTGAATATGAAGGCCAACGAGTCCCGAGTTTGCAGAGGTCCAGGAGAGCAGTGGTGCCTGGCCTGAAGAGCTGTGCTTTGGTGACTCCAAAGGCAGGAAAGGCACATGTACAGCTCAGAAGCCAGGCATAAGGGACTCCCAGTGCCTCCACCTTCCTTCTCTAGTCACCCTGAGGAACTAAGTGAGGCCCACCTACGTGTGGGAGGGATCAGTGCAGCTGGGCCTTGTGAGCTGGATCTTGGCTGCTGGCGGGAGCTGGGCAGCCCTCCCATGGATGGGGTGCAGGCTGCCCTGCCCTACAGTTTCTCCCTGGTCTCTCACATACTCTCCTCCTTGCCATGTGGTTGCACCCTGCTCCCCCCAGTCTTGGCTGCCTTCCAGCATCAGCCCGGCCTGTGACTCAGGTCCCCATGAGAAGCACTGGTGCCTCAGCTTACCTGCGTGTGGCCTCATCAGCAGGTATTGTCCCTCTGTGCTGACCATCCTGTCCATGCAGCCGGCTTTGCTGTAAGGGAGAGTCATGGGGTCCCTGAGCCCTTTGCAAGAGGCAGGTCTTTGAATTGTGGGTGTGCTGTCTTGAAAGGATGAGTTTGTGCAGAAGTAGCCATTTCCTTGCTGGGGCAGAGGCTGAGTACAGATTGTGTTATAGGTTAGCAGCCCAGGAAGCTGGAACCTTTTTGTTAAAACAATTCCAAGTGGAGAAAAAGACAAAGGCACTTGTGTGCATGTGTACATACCCTTGTACATGCTCACACCTCCACACACCCAGGGGCACATGTGGCCCCAGTGATCAAAGTGCAGTGGGCAGCCTGTCCTCCTTGTGCCCAGCTGTAGCATGGTGTCCTCAGAGCGGCCAGGAGCTTTTCTAGGTTGTCCATCATGTCAGCCTGGCTTAGTTGCAGAATCTTATCCCTGGCTGGCCTACATGGGCAGGTGGCATACATCGGAAGGTTTCCTAGTTAGTATTTAAAATAGGATTTTAAATTGCTGACTTAAATGTAGGAGATGAGTCTAATTTTAGATTGAGCTTCATGTTTTTATGTCAGGGCTTCCAGTTCAGGGGATATAAGCATGAGCTTGGAGCTGTGAACACCTACAGTGGTGTCCATCAGTGGTGGCTTTTGTTTTCAAGTAAGAAGTCATTTTGTTTCTTTATGACCATTGCTAGTGAAAACGCTAGGCAGTTTGGCTTCTTCTTGTCCTCTGTGTTCCCCCCAGTGACTGATCCCAAGGCCAGGGCTGAGCGAGCACAGTGGCTGGGAGTTGGGCACAGTGGAAATGAGGCAACCCAAGGCCTGGCCTGGAGACTGTTGTGTCAGTACCCCAAGTTTTGAAGCTGTCATGTGATGCAACCATCCCTGTCACCCCACTCTGTCCTGCCAGCTCCTGTGTGTCCCTCTTCTGTCCTGTTCCATGTAGATTGAGCACACCCGTTGAATGTGCTTGCTGGATGTCAGCTCCAGACGACAGGCTTTGCTGCCAGTCCGCTGATCTGCTCTGTGCCCGTGGATGTGGATCGAGTTTGGTTCCTCTAGGAAACTGGTGTCGTTCCCACAACACTCAAATTGCCCCTTAGGCTTTCTTCTCTTTTTCTGATACCACACTTCTCAGACCTGAGCCTGGACACCAGCTTGCAGAACGTCAGTGTTGGTACTAAAAATAAAACCTGGTCACGGTCATGGGTGTCTGAACAGGCCCCAGGAATGACTGCAAGGGGATTTCTGTCTTCATGGCCTCTGGGCCCTAACAGTACCAGTTTCCAAAGTCTGTGGGGCTGTGGGTTGGTCCAGTTCTTCAAAAGATAGCTATCAAAAGATAGCTATGAGGCACTTGCAGGGGCCGTACAGCCAGAATTTATGGGTTGGGTCCTAATTGCTGCTGGCCAGCTCTGGCACTGGACGAATCATTCCAGGTTCCTGTACCCATGAGAACCACGGCACAGTTGGTGCTCTGTGTTAACATTCCACCTGAACTCCACCTGTCAATGGCTTCTTCAAAACTTGCCGTGCTTCTCTCCCATTCTGTGTGTCCCCCCACCCCCCACCCCACCGAGCAGCGGCCTGGCTATGCACCTGCTGCCTCATGGTGCTCTGTGAGACAGGCATGTTGAGGGGGCCAGGCATTGGTGGCTATGACAGAAGACTGGGAGCTCCCAGCCTCGGGCTTAGTCGGCAGGGGTGGGGATTAATGTGCAGTCCTGGGGAGGGGTGAGGGGAGCCAGGCTGTCAGGTCTCTCCAGACATAGAAAAAGCACCGCTTGGTTGGCCCTGCATCAAGTCCCACCATGGGCTCTGGGTCCTCATCTCCCTGAGCTGGTCTCCAGTGTGTCTATGATCACAGTGTAAAGTCATCCCTTTTTTTAAAATCAAAAGCCATCTGCTGTCCCAAGTGCTGGAGTTATGCTTGTCAGCAAAGGCCCATCCTGGGACTGATCCTGCAGAAGAGCCTGTGTCCTCTCCTGACCCACAGCCACACCCACTGTGTTCACTGAGTATTTGTTGGCTGAGCACCAGCTCTGGCCCTCTAGGGCCCTCTGACCCTGTCCAGGGTAGTCACCTCCTGGGTTCTGGAAGCTCAGATAACAACTCTTCATCACCTTGGGAGTGGCATGGGATGCCAGGGGTCCCGAGGAGGCTGTGGTGAAGACCTCCAGACTAGGCTAGATGGCAGAATTGTGTGGCCTCCCAGCGCTGGAGGCCAGAGTCCAGGATTGAGGTGTCGCCACCAGGATTGATCCTCTGAATCTGTGAGGGGAACCTCTCTCCTTAACTTGTAGGTGTTGTCATGTCTTCACAGTGGTCTCCCTTTAACTGTGCCTGGGTCCACGTTTCTCTTCTACAAGGACTCCAGACAGGGTGGCTCAGGGGCCATGTGACAACCTCATTTAATCCTGCTGTGAAGTCCCGCCTCCACACATCACATTCTGAGGTGGGGTAGGACTCTAGCACATCTTTTGGGGCACAGTTCAGCCCATCACAGAAGGCACTGGATGGGAGCTCCTTGAGATCTGTTTGCAGGGGAGACTGCACTCCAGGTGAGGTGGCCAAGCACACCTAGGAACATTTTCCCTCACAGCACTTTGGGCCGGAGCTATTTCTGGTGGGAAGCCAGTTCTTGGCCTGATAAGATACAGCCACCTGTACTTGTGGGAAGCCTTGGGGCATGGAAGGACCAGGGACCTGGCAATAGTCACCTCCCCTTCTAAAAATAGTGTGGGAACATGTTTGAGGAGCCTGCCAAGCCCAAGATACAGGGATTGCTCAGCAAGGCTGGGCTCCTCCTGGCCAGTGGGTAGCTTGTGTGACAGGACCCAGCCCTTCAGAGAGCCAGAAGGACAGAGTTGGTGCATCTGTCTGCCTGTCACCTGATCACAGAGCTGAGGGAGACTTGTTTTATTTAGTGTTTTAAAAAATCCACCTTGGTAACAAATGCAGCTGCCATAGAACAAATGAGACCTTGGTGATGGGTCTGTCCCCAGTGTGGATGGCATCAGGAGGCTTATTTCCTGGTCCTCATTCCCTGCACCCTTCAAGTGCAAGGTAAGCATTTTCTTACCAGAGGGCACAGGAGCCACCATGGTGACTGGTTGTTAGGGAAGAATCAGGTTAGGTCGATATTCACTGATGGCTTCCAGTTGGGTCTATCAGGGCATTTCACCTGCAGATGGCAGAAAACTGATCACGTGGGCAGAGCAAAGCTGAGCAGGTCAGGGTGACCCAGGAGTTCCCTCAGGCCCAACTCAGGCCTGTGGTGTCTCAGCTCCAATCTCTGTGCTTGATGGTGTCTGTCCAGCAGCTCTGCCCCTGTACCCACACATCTGAAGAGACCATTCCTTCCAATGAATCTGTTGGAATAGAGTCTCTATGACCAGGCCAGAGTGAGGCCCACCCGCAGCAGGACTGGCCAGGGTGAGATGCCCAAGTACAGCTCTGGTTGAACACCACCCTGCATTTGAGGAGGGACTGGCCAGGAAAGGCTGACCCAGTGAGAGGCTGTTTTGGAGCGTTCATGCCAGGAAAGAGGTGTACTAACAGATATAACTAACCAGAAGTTCTTCCTGCAGGATAAAAGGGGTGGCTGGAATTCGTCACAGCCACTTCTGCTGTGCTCCTCTCTTGCTGTGCTGCTGAAACCCTCTCCACAAGGCCCGGAGATGCCTCAACATGTCACAGGAGACAAGCACTTCCTCTCTGTGCCTCGGCTCCTCTTCCACGGCGAGCCCTCGGCCACTGAAAATGGGTGTGACCACAGCCCGCCTGGCAGCAGGGCATCCCCGACCTCCCTGCACTGTGTTGACCACACACCCCTGGACTCTTGCAGCCGACCCCTATGTGAGCCACAGTTCGAGAAGGGCAGTGGCCCGTTGACCCATGAGGTGCAGTTCTTGGCAGGACCTCCAAGTGCACTGTGTGGCTGGCGGACCTTTGCCCCCCAGTGCCTGCAGGTCTTCAACACGCCCAAGGGCTTCCTGTTCTTCTTGTGCGTGGCCTCATTCCTGCAGGGCATGACGGTCAATGGCTTCATTAACACTGTCATCACCTCCATCGAGAGGCGCTTCGACCTGCACAGCTACCAGAGTGGGCTCATCGCCAGCTCCTATGACATTGCTGCCTGCCTCTGCCTCACCTTTGTCAGCTACTTTGGGGCAACGGGCATAAGCCACGCTGGCTAGGCTGGGGTGTCCTGATCCTGGGTGCCGGCTCCCTGGTGTTCGCGCTGCCTCACTTCATTGCTGGCCATTATGAGGTGGAGATGGACGAGGAGGTGGGGACATGCTCGGCCAACCAGAGCGTGGTGTGCTCGGACAGGGCCTCGGGCCTCTCTAACTACCAGCTGGTCTTCATGCTGGGCCAGTTCCTGCATGGCATGGGTGCCACACCCCTCTACACGCTGGGGGTCACCTACCTAGATGAGAACGTCAAGTCCAGCTACTCGCCCATCTATATCGGTGAGTGGGTGGGTGGGCAGGTGGGTGTGAGCAGACAGATATGTCGTTACAGAGTGACAAGGGCCGCCATTGAGCTGGTACCTGTTGGGAGCCTGGGACCCTGGGTTTTCATGTGTATCCCACATTCGTGTGGCCCCCAAATGCTCCTACCTGACATGGCAGGCCAGCTGTGGTTTCACCTGAGCACCAAAGGACACAGGTGATGCTGCCCTCTGTATGAAGCTCCATGCGGTGCCAGGAACCTTAGCATAGCCCCCACTCTGGTGTGCCCCTCATGGGATCCAGCAGCCCCAAGTCCTCAGGTAAGGGTGAGGGTCTGCTGAGCCTGCACAGAAGCTCCTGTGTACCTGGGAGAGAGTTCTGTGTGCAGACAAGTAAGAAGGAACAGAGCCTCTGACCACTCGTCTCCCTGTGAACCCCATGTCTACTCCACAGTGAGAGGAACAGAAGAGGAGAACTCAGGAGAGAGCTAAGACTTCGAGACAAAGGCACAAAATAGCTCATATGTCCTTCACTGTTGGCTACAATCTGTGCAAGACCCCTCCTCCCCACCCCCGCCCCGGGCCCTTGCATGGGACAGTAAGGAGAGGTCCCCACGGGTCTCGCAGGCCCTGCTGTCTCACTTCAGGGGCCTTAGCCTCATGCTTTGCCCACCTGTGCCCACTTTCCCACATCCTTCCAAGCATGGCTTGGCTCTCTCTGGCAGAGCAGCTTAGGTAGGGTCACATTCTGGGGTCAGACTTGTGGATGCAACCTTAGCCTTGGTCTCCTAGCAGTCACCATCCTGGGGGCTGAGGGGCCTAGGGATCACATCACTCCAGCAAGGGGACACCCCCTAAGACAGCCTTCCAAATCCCAGTGCAGGGGGCACAAGTTAGACTGGACAGGGGTGCAGGGCCTCCTGGGCCCTCTGCTCCTCCTATGTCAGGCTGTGTTGCTGTGTAGACGTAGACACTGCACACACCCTAAGAATGGGGCTGCAGGTCCCCCTTCCTCGGGACAGGTTCTAAGCAATGTCCAAGTCCCTTTTGGTGACATTTTGTGTGTGTGTGTGTGTGTGTGGGTCTGGGGTTTGAACCCAGGGCTTCATACCCACAAAGCAGGTGCACTACTGCCTGAGCTACACCTCCAGTCCATTTTGCTCTGGTTATTTTGGAGATGGGGGTCTCAAGAACTATTTGCCTAGGCTGGCTTTGAACTCCAATCCTCCTGATTTTAGCCTCCCAAGTAGCTATAATTACAGGCATGAGTCACCAGCACCTGGCCATTTGGCAACAGTTTTTAAAGTTGTTGAGATGGGATCCCAGACCCAGCACAGCTGCATGGGCAGACCCTGACCGGAAGGGTCTACAGTGGAGCTGGGGGGGGGGCACAGACACGTGGGTGACAGCTTCTCTTAGGAGGCCTGGGTGGACGCCGTGTGCCTCTGCTTGCCTTTCAGCTGTCTTCTACACAGCCGCCATCCTTGGCCCAGCGGCTGGCTACCTGATTGGAGGCGCCATGCTGAATGTATACACAGAAGTGGGCCGACGGTGAGTGACCTGGGCTTGTCCACCTGCCTGCCTCAGTGCCCGGGGCCCTGCAGTTCCCAAGAAGTGGTTCTCATACAGCAGCAGTAGTGCTGGCTAGAGCAGGAAGTCCCTGACTTGGGGTACTTGGCCTTGGGGTGGGGGACTTGGTTCTGTGGGTAGCTTTGGGAGCCTGGCTAGGGGAAGGGGGCAGGGCAGAGGGACGGCAGGGCCAGGACCAAGTGCTTCAAAGCCCTGTCTGAGGTTTCTCTCACATGCTCCACTTGAACTGACAGTGCCTTTCTGCTGCCAGGCTGAGACTTTTTGTGTCTTCCATTTCCTTTTGTTTGTGATTGCTAGTTTTGTAAATGTAAGTAGGAGTGTGAGAAAGAAAAAGGGAAGGAGGGACAAAGAGCTTGAGATGCAGAGAAACAGAAACAGATAGGGACACAGAGAGACAGAGACAATAGAGAGGGAGGGAGGGAGAGACAGAGGGAAGGAGGGAAGGAAGAATGGAAGTTGGCCTTGCTGGCTGGCAGGGATGTGCTGGTGGCTCTGCCCCTTGTCCTGCATGCAGAGGGCCGGCTCTCGTTAAGTTTTCCTGACTGCCGGCCATATCTTGGGCACCACTACATCTTGAGACTCTCTCTGCAGATGGCGCTCCCGTCTCTGCCTTCTCCCAAAAGCCACTTCTAGCCCTGGGTTGATAATATGGGGTCAAGTGTGCACGCTCTGAGGAGGTAGGTTGGGGCTGGTGTCCTTGATTCTGGACGCTTCGCTTGCTCTCCGCACCCCCTTGGGCACATGGGGTGGGGGAAGCAGAGCGCGTTCCCAGCTCTGGGGGCAGCTGTAGCTTTTCCCTGTTAGAACAGAGCAGGAGTCTGCACTGCCACCTGGCTGCTGGCCTGGCCTGACTGGGCATCCTTGCATCACCCTCTCCCTCTTTGTGTTCTTCTTGGTCCTGTTGACCTCAACCCTTTCTCCTTCTCTTCCCTGGATGACCACCTGGAAGCCCAGAGCCTGGTGGGCCTCTCCCTTCCCCATGACTCTTTTCCCTTCTGACCTCAGAATTCACTCCTGCACAGATTGCAGTCACAGGCCTAAAGTTCCCTCTGTGGGGTGCTCAGTGAATGCCAGCTGAGGCCTCTATCTCCAAGGTCCATGGCCCTGGGAATGCCATCTGTCCCTTGCACTGTTGTGTACAGGGACACCTGCTGTTGTTTGAAGAGCCTCCCCCTCCCAGGCCCTGGCCCTGCCAAGGTCTCAGTCATAGAAGGGGCCGGGGCCACAGGCAGCCTCTCCAGGACCCCAAGAGGTCCACATGTGGAACATGCTGTGCCGGGGAATGTCTGAGTCAGGGGCCTTGCCCCAGTCTGCAGGAAGGCACACCCTGGAGGCCACAGTACCATGGGGTCTCTGGTGTGCAGAGAGACCCTGAGGTCTGCCCTGCCTGTATGTTACTGGGAAGGACATGGGTAAGCTGATGATGACTGAAGGCCACTACCTCTTTGGACAGGACAGAGCTGACCACTGAGAGCCCGCTCTGGGTTGGTGCCTGGTGGATTGGCTTCCTGGGCGCTGGGACCGTGGCCTTCCTCATCGCCATCCCCATCCTCGGCTACCCCCGGCAGCTGCCAGGTGAGTCCCTCACACCAGCAGGACATGCCTTTTCCTGCCCTGTCCCCTTCCTTCTCCTGGTCAGTCTTGGGTTTTAATGCCTATTGAAAGGAAAGATGTTTTGGACAGGGCAAGCGTGGTCATCCCTGTGCTGCTGTCCCCATCCTGGGCCTCCCTGCCACCCCCACTCTGGGCCAGGCAACAGCTTGTCACACCAGGGCAGCCCCTTCACCCTCCCTCCCACTGGTCCCGTGTGGCCCTCTGCAACCCATCACAAGGCGTGTCCCCATTCAGTTTCTGGCCCCACTCTCTCTGCCCTCGGACTGCAGTCCTGCAAGCATGTCAGATGTTCCAGGCCTGGGAGGGAGGGGCGCTGGCCCCCCGTGAGACTTTGCCTCTCTAGTAATGGAGACTACCTACTGACTTTGTCTCTCCAGGGTCCCAGCGCTATGTGGTCATGAGAGTAGCTGAAACTCACCAGTTAAAAGACCAAAGCCACAAAGTGGTGAGCAACCCAGCCTTTGGGAAAACTGTCAGAGATCTGCCCCTGTAAGTACTTAGCTGGGTCTCTTATGGCCCCAGTCCCTCCGGGGTCTCAGGGTGCACCCACACCTCACCTGAGAGATTGGAGGACCTCTAAAATCCAGCAAAAGAACAGGGGGTAACAGAGAGCCCCTGGGCTGTGGGTTACATGGCAGGGCCCAGCCACTCCCAGCAGTACCTATGGCCCACCAGCAAGTTTCCCCAGGTCCCTGTGCCCTAAGGGTCCCCAGAGAAGCTGCCGAAGACCCAGAGACCCTCCTCAAGAGCCCCCTGATCAGCCCCACTCTTGCTCTTTCATTATACATCATCCACGTGTTCACTGTTGGAGGTTCCACCTGGTTCTGTACAGTTCTGTCTTGTTGGTCCTCCTCCCACCCTCCTCTCTCACTGCCTATTCTCCTTCTCCCAAGGGAATTGTTCCCTGTGTCTTTCCTCTGTCCCCTCTTTCTGGTACCCATGATTTGGCCTGGCCTTGTCTTCGTGCACTGCAGGACAGGCCCTGAGCTGCTGGGGTCTTAGAGAGACAGGAGCCTGCGGGCCCTGGTATCTAGCATCCTGTCCTAACAGAAGCACATACTCCATGAGGCTTTCCACAGGGTTGGGGAGGTGGCCCTTTGTGGTCACCACCCAAGTCCTCAGCCTTTGGGGCCCATTGTGGCACCTTTGTGATCTTAAGGATGGCGGCATCTCCCTTGCCTTATGTTGGTGATAAGGATGAGTCCTCTATGTGTCCTCAACACAGGGAAGATGAGGGTTCATGGGTGTCCCCCCCCCAGGAAGTCCCAAACTGTCCACCGTGGAAAGGAGCAGTGCTGGTGTGCTGAAGGCAGGGGTGAAAGGTCTCCATTATGGCTTTGCGCTTCCATGTCCATTCCTGCTGGGCCACTGGGAGAGCAGGAGCTCCCCACTGAGGGGGCAGACACTGCACGGCCAAGTTCGCCAGGCCCGTCTTGGCCAGGGTTGTCGGCTTTTCTTCCCCAGGGCAGCTTGCCCTCCCCACCCCAGCACCAGAGCTGCTCAGAGTTGAAGGGTGGATGTGTGCCCTTGTCCCAAAGAGGACCTGGGACACCTGGACCTCCCACGAGGAGCAAGCAGCAAGAGGTTTATGTCCAGGGTTAGTTCTCTAAACCAGTTGCTGATAGTAAGCAAATTCTGGAGCACATGCCCCCAAAGTCACTGCTAGTTCTCTGGGCACATTCAACTCAAGAGTCTCAGCCGAACAACCTGTAAGCCAGGGTTGAGAGAAGTCTACATTCCATGTTGCAGAGTCACCCTCTCCCAATAGCCAAGCAGCCCGAAGCCTAGCAGGTCTGGGCAACGACTCAGGAAGGGACCACCCCAGGGCAGAGCCCGCCCCTGGCAAACCTTCACATAGGACCTGCAAGGAGGGGCCAGTGCCCTAAGCCCACTGGACCCCAGCCCAACCAGTTAGGATTTCTTCCACATTCCCACCTTTCCTTTATGAAGACGTGGGAACCAAGGAATTGACCAGAAAGAAAGACTTTTTCACCCCTATGTTGAAATTAAATATTGAGGGAAGTTTGTCACTTCGAATCAGTATAGAAACACAAAGGGACCCGTGAGTGTCAGTCTGATGCCCCAGTGACCTCTCCAAATTGTAGGTGTCCTTCACCGGCAGGGCTCCAGGGCTGATCACAGCTACGCTGACCGCTCCTGCTTCTGTCTGAATGCAGTTTATTTTTGTCCTGTATCCTTAGAATATGCCGAGCACTTGAGTGCCGAGATGCTCAGCTCTGCCTTGAAGGCGCTCAGGTCTAGCTCTGGCAGGAAGGAGAGTGTCGCTCTCCGCTGGGGAGGATGAACAGCAGGGTTGTGGAGACCAGGACTCTGGCATAGGAGGTAAAGGCACACACCAGCGCCCCTGCTTCTCCCCCTGAAACCTTCCTAGCTGGAGGTGCAGGAGAACCGCCTGATGCAGCACCAAATGTGTAAGCAAAGGGCGTTTTGAGCTCCTTCAGATTAGGTGAACCTTTGCCCTGGATTTCAAAAAGTTGCTTTATTGTTGGTGGAAGTGAGAGTGAGTCTGTTGTGCTGTGCGCTGTGAGGCAGGCTTCAGGGAAAGCCCTGAGCTCTGTCATGTGTCCTCCTGACTCAGACAGGGAGATAGCTGTGCCTGCCCTCGCCTGCACCTGCTCTAGGTGACACAGCTGGTAAAACAAGCCCCTGGGGAGACTGGATGTGCCCCATCTGGCCATCTCCCCCTCCTTCCCCCCAGGGCCAAGCTGGTGGCTGCAACTTGTGTGTTTCCATTCTAGGCTCTGCTCCGTCGCTCCACTCCCAAGGGTGTTCTTTTTCTGCCATTCCGCCTCTTTAATAACCCTTTTGCATCTTACTGTTCAAACCCCACAGTCAGAATCCAGCACTGCAGCCCTACAACCCCTGAGAAGACTAGGGTCTGACCCCGCAGACAGTGGGTGCCCTCAGAGCTGCTGTGCTCAGCCTCATGGGCTGACACGGTAGAGGTCTGTGCCCTGCTCCACTCTGGCCACTATGATGGCCCTGGGAAAACAAGTTGGGGTGTCTCCTTACGGTAAAGCTGTAGCCATACTGGCACCTTTCACAACCCAGATCAGATACCAGACGGAGGTAGAGCCAGGCTGAGGGGGAGGCGCATGAGCACCAGTTCTCTGTTCCCAGGAGGGCCCTAGGCCAGGTTCCCCATGGAATTAGCAGCAGGCTGAATCCAACCACAGGCCCTGGCATCACCCCCAGGGGCCACTGACCCCAAGTACAGCCAGGAAAAGCTGGAGAGCTGGCCAAGCCCTCACCCAGGACTCCTTGAAGGGCCCAGTCCCAAATCTGAGAGACCCCCTCTCCCCACCTCTCAGGGCTGGTGGTTGAGAGACCTCAGTATCTTATCAATCCTCCTCCCCTGTCCAGAGGCCCATCCACCCTGGATTTAGTGATTGCTGCCTTCCCAGCCGTTTTCAGTCCCTCTACTGGTTGTCACCAGAGGTGATTAGACAGTGGTCTGGGTCACTTGGGGTCCCTCCCCATGCTGGCCTCTTCTGTAATCAGTTTTGGCAGCTTCCAGGACCAGTGGCCAGAGGCTCAGACTAGGGCTGTCAGTTGTCTACCTGCCAAGCCCAGCCTCACACATATCCTCATGGTGCCTCTGGAACAGATGTGGGTGCCTGCACTTGCTGTTTACCCCATTCTACTGCCCTCAGGACCAGGGCCCTGTGTGCTCAGGGAGAGGGATGACCTTGGCAAGGGGGATCTGATCCACTCTGACCCTCTGCTCTCTGTTCTTTCCTTCCCCCACATCCAGCTCCATCTGGCTCCTCCTAAGGAACCCCACGTTCATCCTGCTCTGCCTGGCGGGGGCCACCGAGGCCACGCTTATTGCAGGCATGTCCACGTTTGGTCCCAAGTTCCTTGAGGCCCAGTTCAGCCTGAGCGCCTCGGAGGCCGCCACCTTGTTTGGTAAGAAGACTGAATCTTGGGTGCTCTGTAGAGAGGACTGTGCCAACCATGGTCCTGCACATGGATAGCATAAGGGCAGGGCTGCCCCACCTGTCCACCACCCATGTCACTTCAGCCACCATGTTACAGAAAGGGTTTGGGACTGGCTGTCCCCGTGAGCTGGGTGGTCTACGGTATCCCAGTGCCTTGTGGAATTTATGGCTGGAGCCCCTGCCTAGTGGACTCTGGCCAGAGGAAAGTCAGCAGCCTTCCGGGGTCTACAAGGCAGGTGCTGCCCCTGACCCCTGCTCTGCTGGTGCTTATGCTGCCCTGTGCCAAGGGAGCAGCCCAGCTGGCTGGCTGATGCATACTTGATAGTGCCAGGTGTGTGAGTCAGTGTCAGGTTCAGCATGGGGCATTGACCAGCGTGGGGACCATTGGTGGTAGCCACCCTGCAGGTCCCATTGCCTGGGTGAGGAAAGGGCATCAGATTTGGAACCTCCACCCTCCCCAGACACCCACCCTCAACTGGCCTCTTGGCTGACCCCACATGCACAGACCCTCACCCACGACCACTCCCTCCCTTCCTCGTGGCCCCTCTCTTTCACCAATGACCCCTCCTCATTCTACCTCCAGAGCAGGCCTCCTCTGTCAGTAAGCCTCAGGTCACTGAGCTTCAGGTGCCTTCATGTCCTCTTGAGGAGCCCACCACAGTCACCCCTGCTTAGCTGTCAGCATGGGGGCCATGTTCTCACCACCCCAATTTCACATCAAATAGCTTCAGGTTTTCCCAGTCACCTCCGTCACGGTTGGTCTTCAGGGACTCAGTAGGGCCAAGGGAGCTGGGAGGACCCTGGCTCCCTACAGCTTCATCCATGGTCTCTGGGGCTCCTCCCTGCAGCCCCTGGATGGAGGCTCCCACAGTGGCTCTGCCGGAGCGTGGCTAAGAGCTCAAGCTTGGTGTTGAGTGCTGCCTGTGCCAGGGATGGTCTCTCGGGCCTCAGTTTCCCTGTCCATAAAGTATAGCTTCCTGGCCCTCACTGAGTACTCCTCCCTAGGGTACCTGGTGGTGCCACGGCGGTGGTGGCACGCTCCTGGGTGGCTTCCTCGTGAACAGATTCAAGCTCCTGGTTCTGGAGTCATCCGGTTCTGCCTGCTCTGCACCTTGATCAGCCTGCTTTCCTTCTTCGTCTTCCTCACGCACTGCCCAACGTGCCCATGGCAGGTGTGACAGCCAGCTACCACGGGAGGTGAGGCTGGGGAGGGAACTGGCACTGAGTAGGTCGTGTTCTGGTCCTTATCAGCAGGGAGGACCCGGAAGGGTATCTGCACATGCCTGTTGACATGGCTCCACGTCAGTCCTTCAGAAACTCCTGGCTCAGTCACCTCTGCCACCAGGGAGGGTCACATCTCTCTCTGGGCCTCAGTCTTCTCTATAAATGGGATAGCAGTAGCCCCAGCTCACAGAGTCTTTGTATCGATGTGAAGCATGGCTGGGCATCAGCTCCCCTGTGTCCCTAGGTGGTGCGAACATGGGCGGCGGGGTGTGGGGGAGCTGACCATGTGGCAGTTGGGGAGGGTCAGACATGCACAAGCAACCTGTACCCTGGCCCAGACCCAAGGAACACTCGTGCCCACGCTGTGGCACTGGGAAGTCCTGGGCATCTACAATGAACACTGTTAGTAGAAAAGAGGAAGGAGTGGGCAATGGGTACAGTGTGCCCCACTTGGAGGGAGAAAGAGGGAGTGTGCGTGTTTCATCACTGGTGTGCACGTGGGATTGACTGCAGCACCCAGCCTGTGCTGGGAACAGGGCTGGGCCGCAGGGTGTCGGCACCTGGCACTCTTCCTGATTGTGCCTTTGGGACCATGTGGATATGTCACCATCCAAAATTAGGAAAAGCAAACCAAACACACCACACGCCTGCACGTGAGGAGGGACAGTATGGGGCTGAACTCACACTGGCCTGAAAATGAGAAACCACTGATGTGCTTATGAGCTAGGGTGGGTGGCACAAACGTGGCAAGTTTCTGGCCTGAATGTCAGCAGTGGGGATGGCAGAGACACATCTGTCCTGGGCACCGCCTGGCCCTGACTTCACCCCCCAGGGCTCCTCTCTCCCTCAGCCTCCAGCCCGAAGGCCACCTGAACCTGACCGCCCCCTGCAATGCCGCCTGTGACTGCCGACCTGAGCACTACACCCTGTGTGCGGCTCAGACGGCACCATGTACTACTCCCCCTGCCATGCCGGGTGCCCTGCGGCCACCGGGAGGGGCCCAGGCGGCCAGAAGGTGAGTGTGGTCTCCCACCCCCGCCCTGGTTGGACCCCCCCCCGCCCCCCCCTCCGGGAAGCCCTGTGTTCCTCCTGTGATCAGCGCTGTGTTGGGCTCCCCAGGTGTACCGAGACTGTAGCTGTGTCTCTTCGAATGTTTCCTCTGGTTTGGGCCATGCTGCCACGGGAAATGCACCTCAGCCTGTCAGAGAAAGCCCCTCCTTCTGGTTCTCGTGTCGTTGTAATTATCTTTACATTCCTCAGCAGCATTCCTGCGCTGACCGCGACCCTACGGTAAGCCAGCTCTCACGCGCCTTCTCTTGCAGTACCAGCAGGTGGCGCTCCCACCCTGACGTGTGCTGGGGGACACCAGGCCTGGGCAGCCAGCCTGTCGCTGGTGGCAGCAAACAGCTGACTATCTCTGACCTCTGGAGAGTTGCTTGTCACCTGGGGAGGTGGTGATGTGGCCTGGGGCTTGGCCAGGGCTCTTGCTGGCCTGGGGGAGTGACTCAGCATGCACCCACGCTTTCCCCGGTGCTTACACTGATGTTTTCCACTGCAGGTGTGTCTGTGACCGGCAGAGGTCCTTTGCGCTGGGAATCCAGTGGATCCTAGTTAGAACTCTAGGTACTGTGCCGCATGAGAAAGCCAGTTCTACAGACTGGTTCCCTGTCAAGGAACCCAAGGGTGTCCTCTCACCAAGTCCAGTGCATCCCAGCACCAGGCTGTGCCTTCCTGGGAAAGGCTCTATTCCCTAGCTGTCCACTAGAGGGGCCCATTGTCCTTTATTTGCCCAGAGGATTGCTTTCCATGAACAAAGGCTCTCTCCTGGGAGATCATGGGGACTCCCAACCCCAGTGCCCAGACCCCAGAGAAAGGGTCACCTAAGTCTCTGACCCCCGAATATCAATGGCCAGTGATGCCTTGCTGAGAGCGCACGTGTTCTGGGTCTTCCCTGCCACCAACCCTGCCTACCCCACATCCAGGACCCTGAGTGAGCCTCTCTCTGCAGGCAGCATCCCAGGACCCATCGCCTTTGGCTGGGTGATCGACAAGGCCTGCCTGCTGTGGCAGGACCAGTGCGGCCAGCAGGGCTCCTGCTTCGTGTACCAGAACACGGCCATGAGCCAGTACATGCTCACTGCAGGACTCATATACAAGGTGAGGCAGAGCATGGCTTCTTCTCCAGCTCCCCAGGGCTGTAGGATGCTCCATGCATCAGACCGCAGCACAGGGATGCACCGGAGGTTTGGGTTGCAAGGGGAAATCCTTCTCCCCATCCTTGTGAGGGTATGATCTGGAACGGGGAGCCGTGGGTCAGCAGGCCCTGGCCCTGTGGCAAGCCTCTGCCGCACCCAGGGTGGCAGCCCAGGCGTTGAGAACAGCGCAACCTCCCCAAGCCTGCTGGCTCTGGGTGACTGAAGACCTTGAGAGATTAAAAATGGAGCTCTCTGGGCAGGAACCACTACCTGCTGGGGCTGGTCGGCTGGGTGGCACATGTGCAATGTCACTCTTCCTGCACGTATTGTGTGCGTGAAGTCCTCCATGGTTCTCAGCCAGACCCTCCTCCTCTCAGTTTTTAAGAGGAATTCCCTGTTGTAACTCTTGGCTTGGGTTGTATGGGGGAAACATGTGTTTATCCTCTGAATGCCTACTGGAGTATAAAATGTAAAACCTTTCACACAAAACCAGCTGGGATCCCCTGGCCCAAGCCTCTTCCTCAGAGATGGAGCTCAGCCCCCATGTAGAGACCAGAGTGCAACTCCTCTGGGATTAGCATAAAGACTGCCATGTGTGAGAACGGATGGGAATGGCGTCCTCTCTGGAGAAGAGAAGGGGGAAGTAGAGACAAGCTGTTCTCTTCTTTCTCCTGAGTTGGGTGCCATGCTGGGCCCAGAGGGTGGGCTTCAAAAGCACTTGCATGGGTGTTAATTTTAGAAGCAGATGCAGAAAGGCTCCCTAAATACCCGAGATGATGGAATATAGCCTCCACCCAAGGCAGTGGTGCCCCAGAAAACAGCAGGGCTCAGCCTTGGGTACACATACCTGTGCTCCCCATTCAGTGAGGCCACATGTGTGCTCAGAGCGTATCGCTGAGGCCTGTGGCGATAGCTGCCTCATTCCTGACGCCCAACGGTCAGTGTAGACACAGGTTGCCAGCACAGAAACTGAGGCTCAGGTTGAGAAAGGCCCTTGAATGCACTGGTCTGCCTATCTGTGGGCAGAGGGCTGCCAGTCCTGTGTGGGGTTTCTGTGCCTTCCTAACACCATGCACAGGAGAGCCTGAAGCAGCAGAAGTTTCAGGCTCTGGTTTCAGCCAGGTCCCTTCCTTTGGGGTAAGGGAGAGTGAGTCTCTGCTTTGTCCGTCTTCCCCTCTGCACCTCTTGCGTCAGTCTCTTCTCTTGTTAGGACGCTCTGGAAATAAGGTGGCCCTAAATCCAGAGTGACCTCATCTTAAGATCCTTACTTAGTCTACAAATGCCCTGTTTCCTTTCACAGGTGCCTGAGGCTAAGGCTGGCACATGTCCTTTGGGGGACACTGGTCAGTCTGACAGACCTGTCACCTCACCCTCTGCTCTGCCTTTAGCCAATGGCAGTTTCACTCCCTCTCAAAGTATTGGTGTCCATACAAGGGACTGCTATGCAGGGAGTGTGTCCTGTTGGTCGGGTTCAGGGGACCTGTGTGGAAGCCGCAGGCCGTGACACAGGGGCTCCCAGGTGGACAAGGCCCAGCAACCTTCTGTCTCCTCAGATGCTGGGGTTCCTCTTCTTTGCTACTGCCTGTTTCCTGTACAAGCCCGCTCCGGGGTCCTCAGACGGCATGGACGCTTCCCTGCCCAGCCAGTCCTCGGCCTCCGCCAACCCCACAGACCTGCAGCTCCAGAGCAGCGTCTGACCCCCCCAGCTGGGGGGCGCGACACCCCCTGGGAACAGAACTGTGCGCTGCCCACTCCATCCAGCTTCTCTCAGAAGAGCTGACCCCTCTCCACTGCCCAGCGCTACGGACCCATGGAAACGCTGGATTCTGGAACATGTGGGGCCACCCCAAACTTGTGACTGAGCAAGAGACTTGGGAGCCCGTAGGAGAAAAGGCTCAAGGAACACCCGAAAAGATAGGCCCTTCCTTTCTCAGTCTGGAGGGACTCCAGGGGCCACTGCGTCTTGTGTGCTGCCACCACCTGGCCCTGACTTCTTCTAGTGTGACTCCTGATAGAACATGAAGCCTGTGGGGACAGGCCCTGGGTGTGAGACCCTGTATAGGCCCCTGCCTGACCTGTTGTGACCTGCTCTCTTCTGTCCCTGGAGCCAGGCAGCCTCCACCTGGATGGGAACAACTTGTGTGTCTGTGGACCCACATTTGGCATAAAAATGTGCTTGTGGAATTTGTCTTCTACCTGGTCACGTGGTGTCCATCAAGGTCAGCTCCAGTCAGGGAGCTGAACGGGCACCGAGAGGGCACCAAACGGTCAGCCGCTGGACAGTATGAGTTTCTGTGTCCTTGGTTAAGTGTGCATATGTAAGTATATTTTAATATTTAAAGCATATGTCTTTGTGCACTGTGTTTTATTTCTGTGAATTTGCAGTTTGGTGGTTCTGCCCCTTTTGTCTTGTGGGTTTCTGTGGTGGCAGGCTGTCCCTGGGGTTGACTCTGCCCACAGTCCTCCAGCACAGCATCCCTCCCCTCCCGCCCCTCCCCTCGTGAGCGAGAGCAAAACAATCAGCTCCCAGGCTCTGCTCCTGGCCCTGCCGGATGGGCCTCAGTGATGACCTGGCTCCTGCCTCCCCCACTTCGTGAACAACCCAGGCTTCATCAGGGCCCACGATGGAATGGCCGTGGGTG